CTCCTACTTCTACCTGGATGCCCTTCCCTCGGTTCCATTTCTGACTATGAAAACGCTACTCATCCTTCAAGTCTCTGTTCTAATGTCACCTCCTCTGTGAAGAAGTCTAGCAAATCACTGAACACATAATGACTACTCAATAACTGTTATTCAATGGACTAATGAATTAAATTAATAGTCCAATGGCATCGCCCAATAGTGTAGACTAATGGTTAAGTGTGGCATCTGGGAACCAAACTACTTGGGTTCAAATCCCAGCTCCATCATGGATAGCTGTGTGACCTTGGACAAGCTACACTACCTCTCTGAGTCGGTTTCCTCTTCTGTAAATATGACCTAGAACACCAGGCAGATCTAAATTAGACACCCACTGAAAGCACTTCGCCCAGTGCCTGGCAGTCACGGAAAGTAACTGTTTGTACTGTTAGCTTTATTTACCTCTCGCATAACCTCCTAAACCGAGGGAAGGATCATGAATGTCTGTGTCTCTGAGTGTCCAGATTTAGTAAAGAAATTGGTACATAGTAGGTGCTCGAGCAACCTTTGTTTAATTGAATTCAACGTGACACGCACCATATGGGGTGGCGGGTAACAACAGAGGGCTGGGGCAACCAAAGGGAAGAGTTAATTTCTGACTGTGAGAAGGAAGGGAGGAAGGAAGGGAGGAAGGAAGGGAGGAAGGAAGGGAGGGAGGGAGGGAGGGAGGGAGGGAGGGAGGGAGGGAGGAAGGTGCCTTGAGGGGGCACTGGGAAGGGTGGAGATCTGAGCTGGCTACTGAAGCATGGGCATGGTTTTCCAGGAAGACAAGGCAGGTGGCAGTGGAGTGGGAGTCAGGGATGGCAGCTGACCCCGGTAAAAGGACCTGGTGTAGCCAAAGCATAGGGGTGCCCAATCAATCAAACTGATGAGACTCAGCCCACCAGGGCAGGCGCACAGGATGAAGGTGAGCTCGTGTGCAAAGGAGGCTTGCTGATGGGTGGCTGCGGCCTCAGCCAGGACAGCCCAGATGGGCTCTACCTGGGAGACTGCAGTGTATGCATGTGCGTGTGTGCGAGTGTGAGAGGGAGCCCCCGGGATGGCACACAGCCACTGCCTACTCCCACTTGCTTGTTAACGATGCTGTCAGCGTGATGGTCACACAGAAGCATGAGACAGAAAAAGGCCCTTGCCCCTTGGCTCAGGGCACTCACTCCTCAGTCTCCTCCCTCAACTGACAAGCAGTCACTGCACTCCGATGCGTGCAGGCGCTGTGCTAGGCACCGGAGCAGCACACACACCAGGACCCTGGCTTTGTGGAGCTTGTGTTGTGAGGATAGAGACACTCAGCCAGAAAAAAAAAATTAACTACAGTTCAGGACAATGTTCAGCAGCACGAAGGCTATGAAGGAAAATGAAGGTGATATCAACGGGGCGGGGTGGCCAGGTGGGGCTGCTGCCTCAGATAAGGTGGTCAGGATGTCGTGCCTGATGAGGGGAGACTGGTGCAGGGGCAGGAAAGAGGTGAGAGAGGTGAGCCGGGAGGAGACTCTCAGGAGGAGGGAGCAGGAACACAAATGTCCCAAAGTGGGAATGAACTTGGGATGTTCAAGGAGATGCAAATAGGCTCGTGTGGCGAGATCGGGTGGTCCAGAGGAGCATGGCAGGAGATGGAGCTGGGGGTGTGGGGGACAGGGACAGATTCCACAGGCCACGGAACAGACACAGGTTGACCTTTTGTAACTGCTATGGGAGTAACTGCCCGCGGGAGGTGACGTCACCTGCTTGCTATGGCTGCCGTGTTGGCAGGACAGGGAGGCACAGCTGGGAGGCCACCTGCAGGCAGAGACCATAGTGGCTTAGACCAGATGACAGCAACACACTCAGGGAGAGGTGACTGAACATGTGCGCTAGTCTGAAGGTGGAGGCAACAGGACCAGCTGGCCCCTCCTGGGAAGAGCAGTCTGCCCGGCCTACAGTTACCCATGGTGGGTGATTTCCTTCTCTCAGTGAGTTCACCCATGAGACAGACACCTGTGTGACAGGTGAGAGACCACAGCTAAGGCCTGGTCCCCTCCCCCAAGGAAACGCACAGCAGTAAGTGGAGTTGCAGGTGTGGTGTGCCTGACCCACGGCCCAGGCACCTGGAATGCAGCAGGAACAGGCGCCTGGAACGTGGCAGGAACAGGAGCACCAGAGGGCAGGCGGCCGAGCCAGGGCACACACGTGTCCTGAGAGGCTGCCCACTTCTGACCTGGGGTAGGTGTATGCAGCAGCGCTGGGCAGAAGTTTGCTGCACTTCTACTGAAAATCAGACCCCTGGCCTGGCCCGGGACAGGTGCAAGCAAAGGAGATACCCGGCCGGGGTGCGGGCACACGGCCCTCCCCTTGGGAGCCGAGCCTGAGCCTTGGACTCGAGGTCACTCCGGCCGCACCCACACAACCTCTGTGCACGGGGACTTTGGCTCGCTCTCTTCATAAAGGAAAAGGAAAAGGAAAGCAAATCAGGCAGCCCTTCAGTTCAGTTGCAGAGCCCTCGTAGGACACCAGGCACTTGACACAGAAAACATCCTCCACGCCCGCCGCCAGCGCTGGCTGCGGGCTGCGACCGGACATGAAAGGCGCCCCCTCGGCTTCCTACAGCCATCCTGTTGTTCTGACTGGACTCAGCTTCATCAAGAGTCCCTGCTAAGAACAAGCCAGAGGCCTGGCCTCTGTCCACCACACAGCCGATGACAAGAACAAAGGTCGCGGACACTTTTCACAGAGCTGCTGCAGATGCTCTTTTGATTTGCCTTTTAAGGAGAGGGGACAAGTCACAGCCGCGCGAGCGGACCTGGTGTTGAGGTGACACAAAGCTCCCCCCTACCTCCAGCGACTTTGACTCTTAGAAAACATTTTCCTCTGTGCTATGCCTGTAGTACACTGGTTCTCACCCCAAAAGTAAGGGTCTAACGGTGGGGAGAGAGAAACACTCGGGCCCCGTAAATATAGGAAGGGACAAGGAGAAGACATTTCAAGGGTAGGTTCCGGCGTCCCAAGAACTCGGCCAGTTCGTAAACGACTTCATTTGAAACCTTCCAGCTTGCAGTTCAGCCGTTCTTTAATGAGGAATGTGACTTGGCCAAACATGAAATGGAATCATTAAGCCCTGACAAAATCGGAGGCAAAGCAAAACTGAGGCTCTGCGCTTCCTTCTCCTGAGCAAACTAGGCCCCTGTGTGGAAGGCATTCCAGACAGCCTTCTGCCTGGCAGAGGGAGGCACAGGGACCATCAAAACGCGCACGGCTCCGCGAGTTCAGACGCGTAATCACCCAACCCCCACCCCAACGAGCACATGCGGGAAGGGAATTTGCCTTCTGCTTCTGCATATCTCTTACTTAAAGCGCCGCTCCAACAGGGGGCAAGCCAGACACCAAGCACGGCCATTGAAACAAAACGTGGGTGAAACTGCACACAGCGCTACGCACGCACGGAAGCGCCTGTAACAGCTGGTGGCCGCTGGCTGAAGCCCACAGTCGAGCTCACAGTGCCGGCTCCACACCGGTGTCCCCGTTTTGGCGCCGTACTCTGCTTATGGAAGACGAGCCACCACAAGGGGACTCTGGGGAGAGGATAACGCAGGACTCGCTGCCATTTTTGCAACTTCCTGTGAATCTATGATTATTTCAAAATAGTTTTTTTAACGCCAGATGTGTTGATTCTACCGTAAGTGGCTTCTGGCTGGCTATATAGTTCGTACTTGCACAGGCTTTAAGTTCTCATTACATGCGGGGCTGTTGCAGGGCTATTCAGGAAATACTCACTGGCAATGTTCTCTCATGTCCTTAAGGCACCTTGCCCCTAGCCAGTCCCCTCAAAGATGAGGAGGTATCAGGCCCTTCCCGTGGCGGGGACTGCTGTGGCAAGCCCACGGATATGCTCTGCGCACCAAGCCTGCCTGGCGGTCTGACCGCAGTTACTCTAGATCAAAGTACCACCAGCCCCGCCCCTGGTACAGAGGTTCTCAAGCTTTAGGGTACCTCAGTTGTGGGAATGTGGAAATGCTGATTCCAGGGCCCTGCTCCCACAGATCCCGACTGAGTAGTTAATGCATGGGGCCTGAGAATTTGCATTTGCAACAAGCATCCTGGCTGAGTCTGTTGCAGTGTGTTCCAGGGCCACATCTTGGGAAATGCTACCAGAGCTGGGTGGTTGCAGGGATGGTACCCAGGATGGCTCCCCATTGCAGGGCAGGGAGAAGAGCCAGCAGGTGCTCAGCATCCACAGTGCAAGGTGCCCCTGGCACTGATGCAGAGATCTCCAGACCCCTTCTTCTAGGTGTGTATAGCCACAGAGCTCCAACCCCAATGCTTATGGGAGACAGGTGAAGGAGCCAGGAGCCTCCCATACGGATCCTTCAGTAGCTGTGACCCTGTGGCACTGAGGATACAGTGCAGGGTTGGGACTCGATCATCTAGCACCAGGGCTACTTTTCACTGAGTGCTGACTATGTGCTAAGCAAATTACGCGTCATTCAGTTCTGACAACACCGTGCTGAGGGAACCGTTGTTTGGTATTCCCATTTTACAGAGGCCAAGCTGAGGCTCCAAGAGTGCCAAAATTACACGGGCAAACGGAAGCACAAGAGCAGCAGTGGAAGGCGGGTCTGCTCACCCAAGAAGCTATGCTGCCCTAACACTGACGTCGGAGGGATTTCTGAAGGGCGACGGGAGGAAGACTTTCCCAGTGTTTCGGTGGCCTCCACGTGCCTCTGCAACTTAAAGCAGTTCAAATTCTTCAAGGCAGGTCCCCCTCCCGTGGCCCCGCTGTCCCTCCCTTCAGTCCTGTCCTCTCTGACTCTTTCCCCTCCCCTCTCCTCCCCTTTTTACTTTTCCCTTCTCATCCCCAAAGTCTGAAATCACAGGCTCCGTCTTCCTTGTGCCCCCCACCATTAATGTAAGAACACTGCCCTGCCCCTCGCTGACAGTGCAGGCTCTCTGGAGAAATGAGCATTAGGGGCCTGACCAGGCGAGTGACCTACCAGTTTCCAGAGGACACTGGGGGATCTTGTTTGCCCGCAGGTTCCAAATATAATCCATGTTCCACTCGAGGCACACTTGGTGGTCTTTGAATGGGCGCTCAAAAGGAGGGACCGCCTTCAGCAGAGTGTAATTCTTTGCGACAGCGTGCAGCAAGTCCTTGTCCCACTTCAGGTGCACGTCCCCGCCCCCGTACGTGTGGGTGATCCAGGCGCGGAGGACCACCACGGACACGGAGATGGAGTGCCGGATGAAAAAGTCGTCCCTGTACACCATGATGCTCGGGAACTTCACCTGGACCAGGTGCGTCCTGCTGGTGTGGAGGTGCTTCTCGTTCTTCCACCTTTTTTTGTACACGGGAATGCTACTTCTGAACTCGGATGAGACGACAGCTTCCAAATTGACGACACAGGGCTGAGAGCACAGATACTCAACGGAGACTTCGGAAATGTTGCGCACGTTCCCTTCGGCGACAGTGAAGTAGATGAAGTCCTTGTAAACCATGCTCTGCTCCGCTTTGGGCATCACCGCCGTTGTCTGGGAGGTCTGACGGCCCCAAGACGGTACGAAATTCTAAAAAGAAAAAAACATACATAGGAAGTTTTAAAATGATCATCTTGCCCTGGCCAGTGTGGCTCTGTTGGTTGGAGCGTCGTCCTGCACACCAAAAGGTTTCGGGTTTGATTTCCGGTTGGGGCACGTACCTGGGTTGTGGGTTTGGTCCCTGGTCAGGGTGTGCACAAGAGGCGACCAATCAATGTTTCTCTCACATATTGATGTTTCTCTCCCCCTTATCCTCCCTTCCCCTCTCTCTAAAAATCAGTATGCATGTCCTCAGGTAAGGATAAAAAAATGATCATATTGCCCTGGCTGGTGTGGCTCAGTGGACTGAGCGCAGCCTGGAAACCGAGAGGTCACGGTTGTGATTCCCAGTCAGGCCGGGGTCGCAGGCCAGGTCCCCAGGTGAGGGCCTGTGAGAGGCAAATGATGGATGTATCTCTGGTGCATCATTGTTTCTCCCCCTCTCTTTCTCCCTTCCTCTCTCTAAAAATAAATAAAATATTTTTTAAATTATCATATTAATAGATACGTGAATCATGATTTTCCTGGGATAAGAAAAATCCACCTCCATAAAGTGGCAAATGTGGAAGATAAAGGATGTGGACACCACTACCGAACAATTGGAGAAAAACCAACACGCACACACAAATGAAGATTAGGCTACATTAACTCTCTCCCCAGACGCGGTAGCATCTGCTGATCAGAACGTGACTTTGAAACAATGTGGCAGTTGCTCCAGAGCTGGCTTCCAAATGGAGGAGCTAGTTCATAACACAACCAGTCACAATGAATCTGCCTCTGAGTGAAAGAGAGAACAATCCAGCTTCAGACATTTCCAAACTATTGTCCTGACTTCAAACGCCCGGAAAGCGGCCAAATCAGAGGGTGGGAGAAGAGTTCAAAGTGCACCTGAGAGGGAACATGACAGGGATGCCAACTGGGCCTCTTTTTCTCTGGTAAGTTCTGAGCCAAAATAAGCGTGCATGATGGATGGACCAGCAGGAGGCTTCTGTTGCTCCAGATCGGGCACAGGCAGGCTGGGACCACAGACTGTGTGGTCTGATTTTTTTGTCGTGGATGGAGCAACCTGTGCCAAGAAAGATTTCATTTGCCTGTTTATTTATCTAGTTCTCTAAATGACCAAGCCACCTCCGTGTGGACATGGGTTCCAGAAAAAAAAATCTGTAAAGTCTGGTCGTGAAGTCAAGGCACTGTTTAGAGCACGATGTATGGGTGCTAAGAGAGCTCCTAAATCTGACTCTGTGATTCAGGCATCAAAGCACAGTCGCAAAAAGGTTACTTGGGACCACTGCACACCCATTAGTATGGCTATTGTAACAACAAACAAACAAAATAACAAGTGTTGCAAAGGATGGAGAAAAATGAGCCCTGTGCACTGCTGGTGGGAATGAAAAAACGGGCAACTGCTGTGGAAAACCACAGCGGTTCTGCAAAAAATTAAACAAGAATTACCATGTGATCAGCAATTCCACTTCTGGGTATACTCTCCCCAAAAGAGATGAAAGCAGGGACACCAAGAGGCATGCTCGTAGACAGACACCCATGTTCAGAGCAGCCTCGTTTATAACAGCAGAAAGGGAGAACCAACCCAAAGCCCATCAACAGAGAAATGGATAAACAGATGGGTCTGTACACACGACGGGACATCAGTCAGCCTTAAAGAGGAAGTTCTGACACATGCTACAACTGGATGAACTTTGAAGACATTCTCCTAACGGCAATAAGGTAGTCACAAAAGAATAAATCCTGCATGATTCCTCTTATGCCAGGTCCCGAGAGGAGTCACAGACCCAGAAAGCAGAGCGGTGGTTGCCAGGAGCTGGGGTAAGAGGAGCTCCTGTCACCAGGCCCGCAGTTTCGGTGTTGTGAGGGGAGAGAGGTGGAGACGGGGGTGACGGTCGTCCAGCCCTGTGAATGCACTCTAATGTCACGGAGCTGTACGCGCAACATGGTTAAATGGTAAAATGTTACTCTAGGAATATTTTTACCCAACACAATTTTTTTGCAAAAGGTCACTGTCGTCTTCTCCAAAGAAGGGAGACATAAAGAATCCTTTCCTCCCTTCTGGTTTAGGAGAGGCCAAGGTGGCGAAGGCAGGCAGACAGGCACCCAGGAATTGGGTTCACAAACACCAGAACCTTTATCTAGAAACCAGCGCTATGGGAGCACAGCCGCAGGTGAGAGTAACTGGCGGGGGCAGAGGACAGGTGCCATGGAAGGAACGGTGTTTCACTTGGGCTTCGATGGATGCAGAGAAGTTCTCTAAGTGAGGAAGCAAACAGAGACGCTGCAAGTGGCGTGAACAGCCTACTAGGGGCAAGAAGGCAGGGAAATGCAGACCCGCTGGGGGGCAAGCACGCAGCTTGGTTTAGCTGGAGAATAGACAGGAGGTAAAATACACGAAAGGACGTAAGAATGTGAGGTTGAAATAGGGCAGGGTCCTGGTTCTGGAGGACACTGAATGCCCACCCACACGAGGCTGACCTTTACTGGACCGACAGCGAGGAATCAACGAAAGTCTCTGTAAAAGGGGATCGTGTTCCTGTTTCAAAGCGCTGACGCAGTCAATGAGAAGTAAAGCTGAGTGAGGATCAAGAAAAAGGAGCAAGCGACAGAGTTCACTGGTAAGTAAATCTGCACTCGCAGTAGGAGAAATGCCCATTGGAACTACCATCCTGACACGCCGTCCTGAACCTGGCAGAGTCACAGACATCAAAAAGCCTGACAAACACGCGGTCCCGGCCAGAAGTGGGGAAGCACGGCCCCTGATGCCCTGCGGGCAGGAGTGGTCTCCGTGGACTGCGATCAGGCAGTGCTAGCAAACCTCTGCCCCAGCAATTCTTCTTCTATGGCTTTTCCCTACCAATATACTCAAATTTGTGCAAAGGCAGGTATATACAGCTTTTCACTGCAGCACTGGTTATAACAGCAAAAGGTGGAAAACTCAAATGCCTGTCGAGACAGGGCTGGGTGGATAAATGGCCATGTGTCTGCTCATGGAGCCCAATACGGCTGTGGACACAGGGCAGATCTTCATGCGGAGACAATAGGAGGATCGTCCAAGTTCCCCCCACTACACTTCAGAGTTCAGAAGGACCACTTGGGTTTAAAAAGAAGAAGAAATACATACATATTTTCCTGAGTGCGCAGAGCACTGGATGGCCACATGGAGAAAGTAAGGTGACCAGGAGACACGGTAAGAGGGACCTGCCCCAGCCATGTCTACTTAACTTTTGAATTCTGTACAACATAAATATGCCCCCAAAATGGGGCAGGGAGGGAAGCCTCAGTCCTAAAAAATAAACAGGACAAATACAGTTTCTCTACACCACAGAGGGAGACCAGGGATCAGTGATAGGAACCCAGGGGGGAAGAAATATATAAAGTCCAAACTGTCCACCCCCTCAGGGAGAGGTTGGATTGTTCCATGTTCTCATTTATACTTCCAAATAACAAGGGGGAGAAAGGAATATAAAATAATCTTCTACTCAGAAGTAGAGAGTGTTAGAGCGGACGAGCCCTGAGTGGCGAGCCAGCCCATCCCATGGTTCAGAGAACGAAATGGCAACCAAGAGGGTGGCACCCCAGCCGCTGCAGCAGCAGAAGCCAGCTCCGAAGCCCGGCTCCACTCGTCGGCCCCGCTCCCAAGCTCCCCACCGGACAGCACACAGCAGCCAGACCGAAGACTTGCCACTTCACGGCTGCCTGAGACCTGCAGGCTGAACCCCGCTCTCCCATGAGGAGCGCTACACCCAGCACTCGTCCACGAGCAGAGGTCTATTCACTCGGCACGTCTGCCGAGGTGTGGCCTCCTTCTCTAAGTGGGAGTCCAGCTGGCCGCACCCACGGCAGAGGTCTGCAGAAGCCAGAGGAGCTGGTGCTGGTGGAGGCTGGACCACAGCAGGGGGGAGGGGCGGCGGGCACACCTCACTCTAAACACCTGGACGCCTCCCTTACTGGGTTTCACAGGAAGGAAGCATTTGCTTAGTGAGACCACAGGGAGCAGAGTCCGGGACGCGCTGTGGCATCTCACATATCACACTGTGTTCTTTTTCCAAGAATGACTCAAAACCTCTTCCTCATTCTTTCCATGTACAGGATACCTTAAAAACTCACCGGGGCCCAGTTCTCCACTTTGATTTTTTTTTAATCATGTTTTTATTGCTGATGCTACGAACGCCCGCGAAAACCAGGAAGCTGGGGGAAAGGCTATTTGATTTCACTCGATTTCACCGCAAAGCGAGGTTCATAATCATCGTGTTCAATATTTTACATCTTATTGCTAAAAACGCACCAGCCTGCTTCTCCACGTTAGTAAGCACCGTGTGCCGAGCGTGGTCTCAGTTCTGCTTGACGGCCCACCACTCTCCAGAACTCAGCTCCTCATGCAGGAGGTCGGTGGTGACAGGAGGGGACGGGGAAGGCACAGGACACCTGACCATACACCCTCTCCAGGGCCTTCACTTGAAATTGTTTGAAAGGAACCTCCATATACTTATATATGAAGATTATCTTATTTTCCCCAGCTTCAAAGTGCAGTAAAAGTAAACCTAAGTTTACGCGCTCTACTTACATGCAATCCAGTCCGGTGGCCAGGAGGCATGTTAAAGCACTCAGAATATGGCCGGTCCAAACTGAGGTGTGTTGCAAGTGTAAAATACACACTGGACCTCACAAACCATATAAAAAAGGATGCAGAGTATCTCATTGATCATTTTTACACCGACTACATGCTGAAATGATACCAGGATACAGTGAGTTAAGTAAAACGTATTACTGACATGAATTCCACCTTTTTCAGTAAACTTTTTTTTTATGTTACTACCAGAAAATTTGAAATTACATATGTGGCCTGCATTTGCGGCTCACACCGTATTTCCACAGGACGGCACTCTTCTGGACGTGACAGCAGCAGGTTTCCTGTAAAAAGGAACCGCGTGGTACATGTTTCAGGTTTTGGGGCCACTCGGTGTCCATCGCAGCTCCCCACC